AGTCCTGCGTGGCCCTCAGGACCCCCGACCCACGCCCCGCGCCCAGCGCCCCACTCAGGCTACCTGGCCGCCTTGCTCCTCACAGCCGCTGGGAGGCGACCCAAGAAGGTCCCGTGGCCCTTAGACCCGGACCCAGGGCCAGGCCTGGTGTCTTGACCATAGCGTGGAAGTTTGGTTTTCTCTAGATGTTCTTTTCAGTAACATAAAAAAAAAAAAATCTATACGAATTTAAGCGTATTTAGGATCTCTTGGGTTTTTTATTTTAAATCTTTGAACTCTATGAAGGTGAAAAGTGACAACCTTAGTGTTAATCATCAGACAACGTCCTTTTAAAAAGATTGTGGTGGTGGTGGTGGTGTGTGTGTGCGTGTGAGTGAGGGTGTGTGTGTGTGTGTGTGTGTGTGTGTGTGTGTGCATGTGAATGGAGAGGCATTGGCTCCTCTGGAACTGGAGCTACAGGTGGTTGGTGACTGGAACCGAACATGGGTCCTCAGGACACAAACACTAACTGTTCCTAACTGAGCCATCTCTCCAGCCCTCTATTTTTAAAAACTTGTTCAATCGATTTTTTAAATTCTTTAGCAGTATTTCTTGCACTGGGGACCTTACACACAGAGTGGGGAGGACTTGAGAATCTCTTGTTTTAAGTTAGAGAAAATATTGGGGTTTGTTGTCTCAGGAGCATGAAGCACACACAATAGACAGTTCCTTTTATCTCAGCTCTCTCTGTCATGGTCTATCCCAAAGGGGCACATTCAGAAAGCCTGTGCCGTTCAGGACACCAGAGGCCTTTCTTTATCCTGTTCCAATCTTACTGATTGAAAATCTTATTCTATGTCTGGCTCTCCTTTGGGAGGCACTGACTTCTGGGAGTTTATAATCTTAATCCTGCTTCTTGCTCAGGATGTTCCTCCACTCTTAGCATCTTTATTTGTTGGGGAATATGAAATTCTTTATTCTGGTACAAAAAGTTCTCATTGGTGTTTTCCAGCAAGTGTTTGTGAGGATAACACTATGGAGTAAGTTCAGAGTTTGAATCAATAGACTCATGTCCTTCCACCCTCAAGCCCTAAAATAATAAGACACAGGTCAGGCCCGTAGGGACTCTAAAGAACATTTTACTAACCATAGAAAGACTCCATTTCTCTGCTGGTCATTAAGTAGCCATGTTGACTTGGCTCAGCATCCTCCACCCAGAGGGAAGTATGCACATATGCAGTATGTATGTAGCAATTATGTGGCCAACTCCTTGCTCATCCAAGAGTTCCAGTCTATTTGTTTTGTTTGGTTTTGGTTTTGTGTTGATTAAACTTTTGAGAAGGTCTTGCTATATAGCCCTGGCTGGCCTTGAACTCACTGCTATTCTCTTGTGGCTTGTTTCACCCCTTGTGGGATTTTAATATCTTAATTGAGATAATCTAAAATGCAAATACTATACATTCAAAATTCACACACTGAGTTTTGGCCTAATTACAAAATTGTGTCATTATCACCATAACCTAATTTTAGAACATATTTACCACTCTATAGAGAAAATTCCTTCTCATGAACAGTCATTCTCATGTGCCCGTGTTCATGTGTAGACGTGTGTGTGTGTGTGTGTGTGTGTATGTGTGTGTGTGTGCGCGCGCGCGTGCACATGTGTATGAATGAGCAGGTGCAAGTAGAGACCAGAGGTTGATACTAGGTATCTTCTTCAACTGTTGTCCACCTTATTTTTTAATTTGTTTATTTCATTGTACATATATGCATGTGCACTATATGCATGCTTGAGTCTGCACATGTTAGAAGAGGGTATCTGCTTCTTTGTAATTGGACTTATGGGCTTCTGTGAGCTGCCCATATAGATGCTAGGAACTAAGCCTGGGTCCTCTGCAAAAGCATGAAGTGTTCTTAACAGTTGATTCGTCTCTTGATTCCTCATCATGTTTTTTGAGACAGGGCCTCTCACTGAACCTGGAGCTCCTTGTTTAGACTATCTGGCAGCAAGCCTCTGGAATCCTCCCATCTCTGCCTTCCCAATACAGAATTAAAAGCCTGTGTACCCCTCACCATAGCTTTTTATGTAGGCTCTGGGGAATCACACTTCCAAAGCAAACACTCTACTAACTCAGCCATAACTCTAGCCCTGCTCCTACTTTTGGGGTATCATGAACTATGCTGCTCTAAGCAGTGATGGATAATGTTATTTGTGGTGTTTTCATTGCATTTCATATCTATGGTAACAATATGTTTTAAAGGAATTTAGACATTGCCTGTAGGAATGAGAAATAGCATTTTATGTTTCCACCAGCAATGCATGAGAGGCCCATTTTCTCCACATCCTTGTTAGCACTTACTAAAAATTTTAGCTGGTCTAATAGGCATGAATGGCATCTTACTGTTTTGATTTGTATTTCCCTAATGACTAATCACAGTGAACATCTTTTCATGTAGTTACTGGCCATTTGTGTACTTTCTTGAAGAAAAGGCTATTCAAATCGTTTGCTCATTTTAAAATCATTCTCTTTTTTTTAGTTTTATACGGAACAGTTATTTACACATTATGTATAAAAATCTCTTTTCAGATATATAATTTGCAAATATTTTCTCCCACCTGTAACCTGTCTTGTTGGTTGGTTTGTTTGATTTTAGCCAAGAGCTTGCTATGTAGCCCACCCTAGCCTCCAACTGGAGATCCTCCTGCCTCAGTTCCCTGAGATCACTTCTGCGCATCACCACCCCAGCTTGTCCTTTTACTTTCTTAATGACACTGTTAAAAGCACAGATTTAAAAAATTTTGATCTATTTTAGCTTTCATTTTGGAGTCATATCAAAGATAAGTCCAATGCTAAAAGTATTATTTGGTTTAACTCTGAGAATTTTATTGACTTGATTCTTAAATAAAGGCCTGTAATCCATTCTCAGATAAATTTTGTATATGGTGTGAGATTAGGGACAATCAGCTTTTAGTGGGGGAAATTTTCATAATTCATCAACAGCCACGAAGGGGAAATTCCACCACAGAGAATTCATAAATGGCGCAAAAGTTTAGAGTTGATCGGAACTATTTCTAAACAATTTGTCTCCTGGATCAAAACTTCTTTTATTTTCAAAGAGTCTGTGGCTAGTGAGACCTATAATACAAGTGAGTAAACAATAGAAAAGAAATAGTCTAAGCTTTCAAACCTGAGGCCTTGCCATTAGTGGGTTATGAAATCTCCTTAGTGGTTTAAAGCCCATACTTTTCAAATCAAATAAAAAGGACAGAATAGAAAACACAAACTTTCAGAATGTGGATTCTGTATGAAGGAAAATGTGGCTTTGGAGTTTTATATGCATGTGTTTATGTGTTCCAGGAGTTGGTATAACATGGTTTTCTTAACCACAGATGACATTTTTAAGAGGTGGGAAAACACTGTAGAAACTCTTCTTGCAGGATTCTTATGTTCCACAAACATTTATTGAGCGCTTATGTTGTGCTAGGCCCTCTACTAAGTGCAGGGGATAAAATGATAAGCAGCACACTGGGAGACTGGTCCCTATGCAGTTTCTAGAGACAAGAACTTGTACCCCATTCAGTTTCCCCAACCACAAGAACTTCTTCCAAATATTGGTGCTGATTTCCTATAACAGTCGAGAAGATGCTCAGGTTTTTGTTTTTATTTTTTTTCACCTGACATTTTCAACATATTAACTTTTGTTAAAGAGTGGTGCTTTGTCTGCAGGTCAACACTTGCACGTCGAGTTTATTAT